TTTATTATTTAATATTATAGAAACAGTAACAACGCCACCAGTTACACCACCTACAACAACTTCAACACCGGTCTCAACAGCCGCAACACCGCCTAGTCATTTGTACTATTCTCATTCATGGATTCCACATAACATAGAGATTTCGTTGGCTAATAATGGTGAATTATTCGTGGAAAAGATCAGTAGTTCGAAAAATTCTGATTCTAACGAAAGTAGTAAATCGACTGATGATGTCATAGTAGAAAATGGACAAGGTGATAGTAAGATACAAGATTCTGAGATTTCTGGAAATAATTCCGAAGACAAAACGACTGAAAATCATGTTATTGCGGAATTAGATGATGATGATATGGAGAAAGAGAATAAAAACGATGATAATCTAAATAAAATAAGCAAAATTCAATACAGTCTTAATGCTGTTGTTTGTTACATCGATGACAAGAGTAACGAAGATAGAAGAAACATCGTTGCATTATTGCGAGTTGGACCAAATTATCATGAACGATCGGTAGGCAGTGCAGTGTCGCAATGGTACATTTTTAATGATTTTTGGTATGTAAATGCCATAATTTATTTTTTTTATATGTTAAAAAATAAGATAATTCACAAAGAATTATATAAATAATTATAATTTTATTATTGTGAATTGTATATGAAAAGATTAATATTTTAAAATTTATCCAATATATTTAAATTTTATTTTATATTTGTTTTAAATGTGTTTTTGAAAAATTTTCTATTTCTAGTATATCTGCAGTGACACCGCAAGAAGCGGTTTGGTTTAATCTCGATTGGAAAGTTCCTTGTGTTCTTCATTATACGGCTGTGCCAGCTCCCGAACCAGTACCGTTTGTCAGTCCTCTTACTTATGATGTATTTGGTGAAGATAAATGCATTGCTCGAAGTGGGGGAACAAGGGGTATTACATTCACTCCATTGGGTTCCGACGAAATGCCTAAGAAAGGTTTTTAATTAAAAATTAAAAAAGAAAAAAATTATTCAAAAACTTAAAACAATTTTAAGAATAAATAAAATTATTTTTATAGGGGAATTAGTTGGAATTGATGCAGAATTTGTAACTTTAAATCAGGAGGAAGCTGAGCTTCGAAGCGATGGAAAAATGTCTACTATTAAACCAAGTCATATGTCTGTTGCACGTATAACTTGTATACGTGGTATGTAAAATTTTTAACTTTTTTGATCATCATTTCCTTTATGTCAGTGCAACTTTTTTTGGATTTGTTTCATAATTAATGTCTTTAATGTCTTTGGTAGTCAAGGTCCTTTAGAAGGAACTCCCTTCATAGATGACTATATAAGTACTCAGGAACAGGTAGTAGACTACCTGACAAAATTCAGTGGAATTCAGCCTGGTGACTTGGATGCGAACTTCAGTAGCAAACATTTAACTACCCTGAAGTCAACATACCAAAAATTACGATTTCTCGTTGATAATGGAATTATGTTTGTTGGGCATGGCTTGAAGAATGATTTTAGGTAATTATTTAATATTTAATATTAATATATTCATTTCACTTACGTTCTTCAATATTCTTCAATATATTTATAGGGTAATAAATTTAGTCGTACCACCTGAGCAAATTGTAGATACAGTATTGTTATTTCATTTACCTCATCATCGTATGGTATCATTGCGTTTTCTTACGTGGCATTTTTTGGGGAAAAAAATTCAATCAGAAACACATGACTCTACTGAAGATGCTAGAGCTGCTCTTGAATTATATCGCAAGTACAAAGAATTAGAGAGTTCTGGAAAACTCTCTGAATCGTTAAAAGAGCTTTATAAAGTTGGCAATCAATTACAATGGAAAGTAAGTAAAAAAAATTATTTTAAATACTAAAAAATAATTTGCATATAATTATTTTAATGTTTTGAATTAATTTGTTTGTCTTTAGGTTCCGGATAGCTGATATGAGGATGATCCTCAGGAGGAAGTGCATGATTTAGTAACGTCATGTAACGAAAATGAAGTTTAAACGATAGTTTTGAAGTATAGCCAAATTAATTAGACTAAACTTCAAAAGATATCGTTTATACTTACAAAAGAATCATACATTTCTCCTGTTTAAAAAAGAGTTCAATCATTCGTACATAAAAATTAGGAAAATTCCAAGGGTAAATGTGATGATGATGTCGCGAGTGTTAATGATTAAGGGTACAACTAGAATACATTGCCATTCGTATTTAGTATTTTTTAACCTCATGACATCGGTACGTGAGATCGTTGGATCACGTAAACGTAACTCAATTATTGTCCCTAGATTATAAATCTTTATTTTGTCTTTATCAAGGATTGAGATCGTTACAAATTATCAAACAAAAGCTTCGAAGGAAACAAAATTTCTTGTTGATTATAATTTTTTAGAAGGAATCAAAACTGATATGAATATGGTGGCAGTCTATATACATATTGTTGTATATACATATTGTTCGATAGCACATTAGCATTTTGGAGAGTAGTATCAACTTCACATTGATATGATTTATTGAATATATTTATTTTAATTGTTCAATGTATTCGAAATGGAAGATAATAGACACACGTAAGCCAATCTCCTCTATAAAATACATTAACCCTTCAATGATACAATAAAGTAATCATCATTGAGTGAAAAAATTTGAAGAGTTGAATAATATAAAAACATAATATAAAACAACATATAAATTTTTAAGACTGAACAATTAAACAAAATGCAAAGTCATCAATATCATTAAAAATTTTTCCTTTTGTATTTTAAATTATAACTATTATTAATATATATGATTGACAAATTATATATATGTATATATATTATTGATAAATTACGTGCAAAATTATTATAAATTTAATTGTGGTACAACATGTGAACGAAAAATTTTATATACATATATCATTCATCGCTGAAGGGTTAACAATACGTGTATATAATTAATAATTAGTATTTTTAGCAATAATTCTGGAGGAGATATATCTGTACAAAAGTGAAAACGATTTATGATTTTCTTTTTTATACATATCTTTTTTAAAATATCAACTTTTGTAACGTTTTGTCCAACGACAGCTCACTAGAAAAAGAAGGAAAAGCAAAAGAAAAAAAATAGAAATACATTTTTATAAGATTTACTTCGTCCCTCGTGATGAATTTCATTTCGTCTCGCGAAACTATGCAAACCATTTTCACTCGATCGTAAAACAATCATTGAAAGAACCAGAAATTTTTCTAAAGATCCTTTTCTACTTCGAGGCTCTTGAAATGAAAAAAAAAAAAAAAAGAAAGAAAAAAAATAATTAAATGAAATATGGTAGTATATTTTACAAAATGATTGTACTCATAGATTATTTTTGTATGCATTTTATCAATGACAATGGAAAGCAGAAGAAAAAGAGAGAATAAGGGAGAGTAAGAATGAAAGAGTGGGAGAGAGTGGAAAAATATCAAAAATTTATCGAATAAAACAAGATTATCAAAACATATATTTTTTTATATCCGGAACGATTTTCTTATCATTTGTGCACGACGTAACTTAATAAATTAATTTCAATCCGATGAAAAAAAAATAAAAAATAAACAATCAAAACAGCTGTCGTATAGAAAGAATAATGAAAATAAGAATAATGTTAATGGTAATCATGCATTTGTTTTATGTCTATTACTGTTACGTCATTGTGATTTTTCTAATAAACGATTGTATGAAAAATTAATTCTTTTTACTCATTTTCTTTTCTTCTAAAAATAATTTTTACTTCAATTTTTAGTGTAAAATAGTTATAAATTTTAATAGATGAAATAAAATAGCGCAATATCATAAATATATATCACAAAATCAATGATTGATAAGAATTAATTTGAAAGGAAAAATGTAAGTTGTCTAATAACAAAAAATTGAAAAGAAAATCATTATAATAAAATATTTAATGTCCTATGGATTGATCATTAATACTTGTTCTATAATATTGTTTCTAAGTCGTCGCGATCATTTGTAATACCAACTATTACCGCTAGATGGCTCCATGTGTTACTATTCTTGTTTAGCATTATCAATCAAGCAAATATAGTATAATAATCGGAGATTTAAAGAGATATTCAAATATTTTCTTTATTAATAAAACGAATGAAGGAAGATTTTTCAGTTATTTTAAAAATAAAATATATCATTTTAATATTAATAATATTATATATATATATATATTTTTTCTTTTAATATTACATCTTAAGTTTCTGTATGTACAAATCAGTTCCTACCTATTCCTCTTATTATCAGTTCCTGTCTTTTCCAGGAATTTGTTTGTTTTTATTTATTCTCTACACAATTATTAATTTGCATTAGCTAGTTACTTTCTGAATAAATTTTAGTAATACAATTAATAATTTACAAGATTGTACACACATACAGCCGAGGTAAAACCCGGTTTCATGTTACGGCGCTCTATCCTACAAGACATATACATATAATAATGTAAAAATTTTAATAAATAATAAAACTTCCTTTCTCGAACACATTTAAAAAGAGAAGGAAAGACATATAAATCGATTGCCGATTTCGACGACGAATGAGATCTCTATTAATGTAAATCGAATCATTCGAGCCAATTAAATGGAAAACAGAATTAATCCTGCATTGATACATTATTCTTTTGGATAATAAAAAAATTTTTATAGGTTTTTTTTATATTATATATAAGATTCTGAAAAAATTCATTGATATTTTAAAAATTATTTTACATATTCTAATATTGATAAAAGATTTCAAAATTCTTAAAATTTTATTCTGTAGATTTCATTATGAAAATCTGAACATACTTCTGTATATTGAATTTTTTTCTTGGTATTTCAAATTATTGCAATTATATATCCAATACAAGAAAACCAGATATTCTTCTATTTTTCAGAATTCTTTTTTATATATATTTTATATAAATAGCAAGGATATATTCAAAGATAATTTCTGCAGATTATTTCTTCAACCATTAAATCATCATGGCAATTCGTATTCATTCGTTACCATCGACATAAGGCTAGCTTATTTAAGTAATTACAGGTAATTAAAAAAAAAAGTCACAATAATTATTAAAAAGAAAAAAAAAAAACGTACTCCTGACTAGAAACTTGCATGATCGAGCTGCAGGAGTTGGAAGGAGTATTCAGTGGCAGTAAAAAATAATCGCAGAATGGCTCCAGAACCAATTTTACATCGTTTCGATCATCGAATTTGATGCAAAAAAAAAAAACTCGAACATCTTCCTTGTTCCGGTCTGGAGATAAAGGCACTCGCGATTTTATTAATTACAGTTAGTCGTGTTGCTCGTCATGAGACTTTATTTTGTAGCTAGGATGTGTCATGATCCAACCAGTGCATAGATTTGCTCCTTCGTAAGATTCGAGGAGGATTAAAGGCACTTCCTGGCTCATTCATTTAGATAGTTCGATGATTTTTCGAAATTCCATTGATTGGCTAATTTTTTCAGTGATCGTCTCCGTGCTGGAAGTGACCATTCCTGTTCAGTGGTTGCCTTTCTGGAGCGTCGGACGGCCTATTTCTCTTGAAGAAGCCACACTGTTGAAGAAATATAAAGTATTTAATTTCTCTTTTCCTATTATATATCTTATTATTAAAAGAATAAGCTTTAAAGAAAGAATAATTTACAGAATAATTCCAAAATCTTAATAATTTCACCAAATACGCGATCTCGTTTAATTTGGATAAACAAACCTTGTGCAACAAGAAAATAAGGAGTAGTAGAATGATGGTTCCAGCGCAGGCGGAGAGTACCACGACCCAGAGCGGTATAACATCCGGTGCAGATGGCGTTATACTCGGCTCGACATTCGTCTTAATTTCGTGACTCTTGATCACCTGTTCGGCAGGTGTACCTATGAAAGGCTGCTTGGTCACTCGGGCTATCAATTTAGTCGAGACCCTGACTTTTTCTTGAAGAGCGACCTTCTTCAGTGTCCTCGCGTCTACTCTGTATCTAGCTCCAATCCAGACCTCTTGGTCTTTCTTCAACGGGCCCAGAACACATCTGAGCATGACACACTTGGCGGAATCACATGGGCTAACCGGTCCTTGCATCCTAGGATCGGTTGCAAAATCTACTTTGTCGTCAAATTCGGTTTCAATCGGCTCGTCCTCCAAGTCTCTGGGCACTCTGTGAAGCTTTTCGAATTTCTTAAACTCGTATACTCTAAGCATATCGCTCTCTTGCTTCGATGCGGAGTCTTCATTGAGATTAGGATTCTCAGTGTGTGCAGTTTTTTCGACAGCCTCGCGATTTTCTCTTGCGTAAACTCTACTGGTCACTCTTCTATCCTCTGTCCTTCTTTCTTCATGAGTGCTGGAATAGCTGGACTCGTAATCCTTTTCGATTTCACCAGCTCGGCCAGACTCCTCGTTCCAGGATTTACTGTAACTCTTCGTTTCGTACTTATTGCTACCACCACCACCTCCCAAATAGCCACTATGCGGACTCAACGTGTACGTTCTTTCCTCGGTGTAAGTAAAGGAGCCCTGCAGAGGAAACCTACGGCCATCTTTGAGCACGATGAACCCTTTGCCAGTCGAATCGACCATGAGCTCGCCTTCTATCCTCAAGAATCTGCTGTCTCTGGACTCGATACCCTCGGCAACGTAGCTCTGTCTACCGTAACTGTCTTGCAAAGGGAACATAGACCCGTCCTGGAATTCTATATACTCTCTTCTGTCGGCGGAATTCCTAAATCTTCCCATGAATTGAACATAATGCTTGCCTTGTCTGTTGTATAATTCATAAGCAGACGTCGATTTCGACAAAGATCCAAACAGTCGATCTAATTCCTGAGTAGAGCTAACGTTGCGCAACTGGAATCCGAATTCCCCTCCTCGAACAGTCTCCTCTCGATCACCAGTGATGAAACCAGCCTGTATCCCGCGATGTTCACCGCCAGAGCTGCCATAACGTCTCTCCTGCTCGAGCCTGTATTCCTCCTCTTCGATTCTCCTCCTCTCCTCTTCTTGTCGCTGACGTATCTCTTCTTCCTCTACTCTTCTCCGTTCCTCCTCTTGCCTTCTCGTCTCTTCCTCCTGCGCTCTCCTCCTCTCTTCCTCCTGCCTTCTCTGATATTCCAAACGTTCTTGTTCCTCTCGTTGACGCTGCACGGCCAAAAGTTGTTCCTTCTTTCTATGGTGCTCCAAGAGTCGAGCCTCTTCTTCCTGTCGACGCTGGGCCTCTTGCTGTCTCAAATATTCTTGATATCTTTCGTCACTCTCGTTCACCTCGGAGTTGAACCTGTTCGAGGAAGATACGCGGCCTCCAGAGACACTGGTCTCGCCCCAGCGATTCTCCAACGTCTGAGAGTGATTCGTTCTGGCTTCATAGCTTTCGTCGAGGCCTGGAACTCTTGTGCCAAACGTGCTCCCATCGCTGGGCCGGAAACCACCGCCAACCAAAGTTGTCTCCCCGTAACTGCCAGACTCAGTGTCAAAAATCACGCCTCTATTGGCAGCGGATAAGTCGCCAGTATTTATAGAACCCGAATTGTTCTGCGTATAAGTTGTGATTAGAACGTTTGGTTTGTTGCCAGTGTCGGATAGTTGGAACCTTCTTGTCTCGCTGGTGATAACTTGAGAAGAGGAAGAAGAGGAGGAGGAGGATGATGAGGAGGAGGAGGAGTGACGAGATTTTTGAATGTTCGAACTGTCGCCACTGTTGATGTCGGATTCTTCCTTCTGGGTCAACTTGCTTCTGTCCGCGTCGAATCCTCGTTGCACGTTGATCGTCCTGCCCGATTGAGACTCGTCCAGGATCACTCCTGATGGGTCTGAGTGGTGCGAGTACATTCTCCTCCGTTGATCCAACTGGAACGTACACATTACAGGCGTACAGCCAATTAAGTTAAGTAAGAATAATATCCGGTGACTCGTTTTCCAGTAATTGCAGTACAAGTTTTTAAAAATCATACCTTTAAACTGAGATAATTCGCATTGGCAGGTTCACAGGCGATCGGTCCAGACGTTTCTGGCTGCTCTAACAAATAGAGCAACTCATTTCCAGCCAAGGTTTGCGCGGGCCAAACGAGGAATGCCTCGGCCTCGATCACGTCCGAGGGGCCCTGGTTCCGAATAGTGTAATTGTGCGTCATAGCCGGGCCAAACTCTCCCTCGGTGGTGGCATTCGTCTCGCTGGTATAATTATCCGGATTGTAGTACAGATCCTTGGGCTTGCTCTCACCGTCCACGCGCAGATCGGTCTCGATCCAAATCGGCAGCCTCAATGTGTAGCTATTGTCCTCGGTCGTGAACGGGTTCTCAGGATTGGTCGTGTTCACGTCCATCTCGAATTCGTAGATTGGCTTCATGCCGTGGGAGGTGACGGGTTGCAGCAACACTTTGAATTTGACCAATCCGTTTTTCTGCAACGGGTTGCCAATATCGCAACGAAGAGTATTGTTGTTGGATTGTTTGGGGGCCGAGCATTGAACGGGCACGCCCATCGTCTCGATCTTTTCCACCTTGATGTAATCGATACCGGCGGGCAGTTTCAGATTGTACGTCGACTCGAAAGCGTCTTCGCCCATGTTCTGCACCAACACGTCCAGTTGCAATCGTTTGCCGGATCCCAATAGGTACTTTTGCACGTTTGACGTCACGTTCATCTGTAGATCGGGGATGCACACGTTGTCGGGGCCGCAGTTCTTCCTGATCGACAGAGAGTCCTTTCTGGACGTTGTCGAGCCGAGGATTGGTCGTAGAGGGAGTTTAGGATCTCTTGGTCGAGTGTCCTCGTAGCGTTCCTCGTCGAGGCTCATTCGCATCTCGGCGTCCAGAGAGGTGAGCTTGTCACGGATGTTCGGTGTCACGTAGACCTGTGAACACGATAATGAAAATGATGAACTCGTGGGTCGGTTAGTTTTCTTTATGGAAAATTATCCATCTCTCCATACTGAACCTGAACAGTGCGACAAAACTGTCGATCCCTGTCCACCATGATGGTACGATTCATCGTATTCCTTCCCTCCAGCTCCAAGAAGAACAGCCTAGGGCTTTTCGTCTTCTTCACGTCCAGAACGTATTGGATATTGAAGTTATGCTTGGGAAAAACACCGTCCCCGTTGTACTTGAACAAGCCCTGAGGAGAAGGCAGGTGACCCTGCTCCCATCCGACAAAGTGCAATTCCTATCGTCCAACGAGATTAATTTCGACTCGAGGTCGAACGACACGTACGAATCCATCTTGATCACGGGTCTCGATCTGAAGAAAACGGCCGTGCTCGACTCGTACGCGCCCACCACCATGTCCGGGTAATGATTCCCATCCAGGTCAAGGCCACCGGCCACCGAGAACCCGAAAGTGTCGATGGGAACGTCCAGATTCTCGGCGTGGATCGCCTGAGAATATTTTTCCAGAACGCCGGTTGACGAGCCATGGTAGATGTACACTGCACCGTGGCCACGTGGACCACCGTAAGGAGCACCCACCACGAAGTCCCCGTAACCGTCACGGTCGATGTCCCCGAGAGAGGCCAGTGACAAGCCGAATCGGCCACGATTGCTCTCCCCGTCCCTGGATAAATGATAAGCAATTATCGCGTTGTAAGTTCAACGATCCGTGCGTGTGTGTGTGTGTATGCGTCTCGACAGAACATCTTTAGGATCCTTTTTTTTTCTTGTAATATTTAAAATTCTTATATCACGTGTCGAAGAAAATATTATATATGGATAACAAAAGTATTCGAACGCTTGCATTTACAATTTTTGATGAACGAAATATATGTGTTGAAGAAACATGGTCAAGATGTGAGAGGGAAATCTTAAGAATCAAAATTTAGTAGGTTACAAAAGTAATCGTATATGCAGTATTATTTAACATTAATATTTTGTTGGACCACCTTTGATGATAATAATTTGTCACAGTCGACGTTGCGAATCAGTGATTTCGTAAAATTACAATCGATAGAATTCCATATTTCTACAATTTTTTCTTTAAACATCTGCTTTGAAGACATTTGAAATTTATTTAATTTTTTGCCTTTAATTTCAGCCCATAGATTTTCGATTTTCGGAATTTATATCTGGGACGTATATTGTACACGACCCATTTTCTCACGATTCGCGTTCGTGATCGTTGTTGAAAGCGTGCGATACATACCTGGAATCGACTTTGCGGAATTTTTCAGGTCCAACGCCTTGATAGATCACGTACACCCTTCCGGTCTCGATGGTCATTTCCGGGTTGTCCGGCACCGTGTACATAGGCGCACCAACAATAAGATCGTCCAACCCATCCCCGTCGATATCCCCGGATGCAACGGCGTAACCGAAATAAGCCCCCATTTGCTCTCCCGTTATGTTACGAGGATTCGTCATGTTCGAGGTAAAAAGTAGAACCTAAGTATACAAAAACCAATTAATTCCTCATTTCAAAATTGGCCACGAGATTTAACATTTTAACGATTTTGATTTCAAATTCGATAAAATGAATTCGTCAATTCTCTCTCTGTTTTTCTGATGCAAGAGAGAGGGGAGGGGGGAATTAATTTTCTTACTTCCCTCACAATTGCCCCGGTTAATATTTCATGAACGTACTTTGCCGAGGAGATCGGAGCCACGAGGTACACCGACGGCTGTTCCGCTGTCACCGTTCCCAATAAAATCGCCGCTCGTGACAGAGTAACCCATGTAGCTATCGTCCTCGGTTGCAGGCCCTTCCTTCGTGTACATTATTTTCGCGCGGCCGTTCAACGGCTGTGAAAACGCCTGGCCTGTAAAGCAATCGATAGATCCAATCCACTCCTATCTCAGACACGTTTACTTTCCGACTACGAGCCACGAAACTCTAAACAACGTCGGGATGTATAACACGCGTGAGAAAACGCGTGTTAAATGGAGCACGATCGATAGAAGAAAAAATTCATTTCACGTGTTTAAAATTTTTTAATTTCGTAAAAATTCTCGTAGTCGGAGAGTGTGTAAAATTCGCGCTTGTGAAGCCGTACCTTAACAATGATTAATCTAAGCGCAGTTTAAATCAACAATGTCGATTTCGATCAATCTCTACTGCTGTGCGACTAAGTTTAAACGACAATAACATCTTAACACCTGATTAGAAGGGTATTTATCGCTACAATAGGCTTGCTTCGGTTTATTATTGCCTGTCTGGTGGCGAGCTGCGAAAGAAGCGGGCCTGCACCTTAGTTAAACACTGCCACCCTCGACTCACCTTGGCGGTAATTAATAAGTAATAACAACACACGGTGCATTAATCATCAATCGGATTATTAATCACTTAGAGGGAGGATGGCCTCGCAGAGGCCTCAAACTGTCAAGCACACAAGATTATACTTTGCGCTAATTGCAAATTAATGCGTGGAACAGAGAATTTTTCCTTTTTTTTCTTCTTTTTTTTTTGAGGGGGAGGGGGGAGAAGGGGGGGGGGGAGGTTTTGCATTCATATATAGCACTGTTGAGCGTGACAGTTCAACAGTTCCCTTCAAAATTATTAATCACAGGCGTCGGGTTAATCGCGATGAATCCGCACAAGTGGAAGCCAGATGAACATGTGTAATTATTGGAAATGAATTATTTGGGGGCCAAGCGATCGAGAGAGGGAAGTTTGCCGATGATGTTATGTCTTCTTCGTCGAATTGAATTTTTCGAATCTCGTGATTAATATAATACGTACGGATCGATATTTGTCGTAGACAGGGTGAAGCGTTTAGGATATCGTGTAATGATAAATATCTTGATGATCTCTTTTCTTTTTTAATAAAAAATGGTATAAAGAAACTTTTTAACGATGTAAAAAGTCTAAATCTATTTACGTAATCTAATACTTTTTTTATATCAATTTAAACGTTATTTCATTATAATAATACTATAACTTATTTCGATCTTATTAAATAAGAAGAAAAATTTAAAAAAAAAAAAATAACATCATATATTTTCGACGATTAAACGTTTAAAGACTATTTAAGCGAAATAAATGCCTTAAACGCTTCACAAGGTGGAGTTTCAAGGGAATCAAATGCAAAGATCGTCTTTGAGCGTGAAGCAGCGCTGTGTTAATGGGCGCTGTCGTTAACAAAAATGGCGGCGGATTAGAGGTATTATTTTTAAAAGAAAAACAGGGCTAAACGATGACACGTTTTTCGTTTTTCGTTAGGGGCTCAATTACGCGATACCTGATGCATCTGCCTCGGGGGTGACGAACATCGTCGCTTGGAACCCCAATCTCAGACTGGTGTCGATCGAGTATATCTGACCTGTAATCGTTCAACGAAAGCCTCTAAATCACTTTAAAGATCCACAGAGCATGCGTTGGTATCGCGGTATATTGTGTCGCTGTTCCCAGGCGTTATGGAAGCTCGATTTCTTATCATTCCATTTGCGGCCCAATGGCTTTTCAATCGTCCAATTAGTAAGGGTGAAATAGTAAGGAGGATTTAATTCGGTTGTAATTTTGCTGAGAATTTTTAAGAAGCCCAATTGGTTTAGAAAGATCCAAGCAATTCTTTTTAAATTTTCGAATTCCCTTTTTTTTTTTTTTTCTACTGAAATCTTCATTTTTAATTTTGTTGTTAAATTGTTCTTAAATTTCTTAATATCCTTTTTCTTTATTAATTTTCTTAAAACAAAAATTTGAAGATCACAAGAGAGTTGACAATAATTTAAAAATCCTTCGGGAATAATTAGAACAAAGTGGTTGAGCTGCTGTAATAATATTTAAAGTTTAGAGAAAATTTTAAATTTTAAATCGTAGTACAAGAAAACGTGTACCTTTCTAAAAATTTATTTATTACTCCACGAATACGTGATAAATTTCTTGAAATTACTCGTATATAACGTGAAAGAAACTTCACTGATTTCAAAGAATTCAAATTATAGATATTCGAAGAGAGAAACTACTTTTTAAATTAAATTCTTTTCCCTCGATTTGTTTCTCAGTTTTTTCGATCAAACGGAATAAAATAGATTTGTTTTATCAAGGTATCGTGTTTCAAGGTGGTAACGATTGTGAAATTATCGACCTGAATCGAACTATGGAAACGATGTATCAAGAGAGAACCTTACCTTGCCAGTACCAACTTCCTGGCGCCCCGATGAACAGCCTCTCATTATTCTGAAACGAATGGAAAGGCACGACATTAGAGAAATTAATCGATGTCAAATAACTAACGATTGGAACCACTTTACGAATACTTATACTATCGGTTAACTTTATATTCCAATTTTTTTTTTCTTTCTTTTTAATCCTTAATGGAATTCTTTTTATCTACGATAAAGTTTCCTCTTATTCTATACACATATTCAACATTTTTCTATTTTTTTTTTTTACACAAGTTTACATTCCATTTGTTTAAAATTCGAAAAATAAATCTATCTATTAATATTTATCCAGTAATTTTTTAATCATTCGTCCTGTGTTAATTAATTTTATATTTAAATTATTTAATAATATAATAATGCAACTTACTTGGACCTAACCTAATCAATATAGAAATGCTACAATAAATTTTGTAATTGCTTTGCATTAAAAGAGAGAGAGAGAGAGAATACAACTTATTTGTATCCGTCCCCTGTGGCTTTCGTATAAATTTCAAAGACGAAGCACATTTTGAGCGTGCAACAATAAAACAACGAAGCGTAACAATCGCGACTTTTTCTAGCCGCAAGGCGTTAATGGAATCAGGAAATGAACGCACCCACGAAAGTTCAACTTTTCTTTCTCAGCTTCGATCGAGAAGATAATGGTTTAGATAAGGGACGTGGCTCGCGCGCACGAGCCCGAGACGTGATAAATCAGCTGCTCGTACGTATGCTAGCTACGCTGAATCTACGCTGAAGCCACGTCACGCATGCTAATCAGTTTCGCGGATCGTGGCCTTCGCGATACACGAACGCGACCATCTCAACGCCCTTTCGTGGAAAAATCGATGATCGATCGCTGTACAGTCGTGGAAAACTTGCATCAAGATTATTAAGATTCCTCTGTAATGGTTAGAAGAACGAGAGAAACACGATTTCGGTGTTTAGGTTAGGTTAGAAATTCCATATTCAAAATTAATCTTACGTAGCTGGAATATAGATTTAAATGATTTTGTTCTTTAAAAATTTTCGATGTTAAAAAATATTGGAGAATATAGTTAAAGAATAATATCTTCTCTAAACAAAATATTTTTATATTTAATTTATATAATATATACGGAGACAAATCGGTAAAAAAGATTTAGAATACAGATTTGTTGTCTTTGTTTCCCGACAGACGAGTTTTTAAAATGATTTAGAAACATTTTTAATTTCCTTCGTGAAACGCCCAGTATAAAAGTTAGGTTAGAATCAATTAAACGAAATACGCCACATCCTTGACACCTTTTCAACCACCAATTTTATTCACATCCATTCATCAAGACGTTTCTACATATAGATCGCGAATAAACAAGATGCAATAAAGATACAGCTAAAATCCGCATCTCCCTGTCTCACCCATCACTCAACGTCCGAACGCGAGTTTCATCAATCTAAATGTAGCATTTCTTCGTAAACGATTGCGATTGCGCGTTACGTGCAATCCTGCGTTTGTGCGCGAATTCGTTTGTAGCGTGCCGCTAAGAAAAGACGAATATAGTCGAGGGACGAAACGGTGTTCGATCGAAAGCCAATAAATTCGAAAGCTTGTAACGCGGATCGAGTGTCGCAACATTTCGGTGGCCGGTGATAAAACAACGGCTCTCCAGCTTCGTTCACACACGATCCTCTCTCCTCCCTCCCCCCCCCCCGCCCCCATAGCCGTGCACTTCTTAATCGGCGCATGAGTTACTCGAGTGCCACTCGAAATCATCGACATATCTTCGAACCTGCCTATCGGTCGTTCCCATGCGGCTCGACACTTTCACGCGACTCGTCTGACGCGTGCAGAGTTATACTACTTGCCACGATCGTGCGAGTTGCGAGGCGCGAAAAAAAAAATGGCACTCGCGAAAAGTTTAAAAGATTTATGGATATATGGAAAATTTCAGAAACTTATAGAATGAACGTGATAAAAAAGGGAAGAAAAGATAAAAAAATTTTTCAAAGCAATTGCGGATATTTTTGTATTTTCGTTTCGAAAATCCTATCTTTCTAAATTTCTTAATTTACTTGTTCAAAAAGCAAATTTGTTATACGTGTTTTGTTCTTTAAAAAAAAAGCGAATTCTGAGCGCTCCAATTAATTCCATTTATCGTGTATACCATCGCTCGCGCGATTAGAAATTAATATTTCATTGCGTAATGTTGGACGCAGGTTTCGTTAGCAGCATATTTGCCGAGGTTGGAAGCCTACATACCCGACTTCCTGCCGTTGCGTTTACACTATGCTGTAACGGTAAGCCCTCCTACAATCTTATCTAACGACGATGCAACAGTAGTAAAGACTATGTCCTGAATACATATCCAGTCCGTGAATGAATGATTGCTATGCAAATGCAAATGTACGTGATTTATAACGAATTACGTTGATTCGCGAATTAAAATTGAAGAAATTGATTATTCGATAATAGTATGGAAATTATATGATATATTTTGATATTATATATTTTAAAAAATTGTGAAGAATATATAATAATATATTAATATATATATCTCTGTAAAATAAATCCAAACGTAAAATACATGTCATGATATGAAACAGGTATAAAATGGCTATAAATGACAACGGATTAAAATATAAAATACTGTTTACACCGATTATAAATAACTATCTGACGGATATAAATGCAACGACCATAAAGCGATTGTAAAAATTATTATAATAGCTAAAGAGGATAAAGTGGATATCGAATTACTATAATTATCGAAGGTCGCATGTGAAATGACTATAATTACGAGGAAACCACGAACGATCTTCAGATGTGTAACGTAACCACAGCCTGATATAATTATGCAACTCTAAAACTATACAAATATACGGTTCTTAACTTTTTCTTGCTAAGAGTTCCTCGACGCTTATTACTGTATTCCAGCAATTCAAATTAACAATTTGTTTCTGTACATCTCCCTTTTTTATTACATTGTTAACTCGATTTTCTTTTCTCCTTTCTTTCCTATTGATACATTCCAAGAATCAATATTTTTTTCTCACTATAGTACAAAACATAAAATCCACGTTTTAACAAGCTTCCATCGATGTCATCCCCTCGATTAACCTTTGGCAAGAAGATCAAAATCAAGGTTTCGCTTGAAAGATCAAAGTGTTAATCGCGGGACAATGTCGAGGATGCACCTACGCTTCGACGGTCAGGTCTACGCCCACGCGTGCTTAGAAACGTGAATAGAACGTTTCCTTGTGCGAGAAGACGCAAGAATTCTAGGTATTGAACGGTGGTCGAGAAATACCTGAGAGGAGATTAGGTAAAGGCAACGGTGAACAAGGGGAGGAGAGGGAGAAGAGTCGGTGTCAGGGTTCAAGTGATCGTTTGTTAATATAATTATTGAATATTAAGTAATATCTCTCGAGAATAGTTTTAATTATTTATTTTATTATTTCTGAAATAATTATACCGTATGATTATGAATTATACCTTTTTCCATTATTTCTAAGCATCAAAACGAATTAAACCACATCGAAGAGCAAATTTCTTTTCTACGATAACGATGAAATTAAAAACTTCGAAAAACTTGAGGCTTCTATGATCGTGGAAAATTCTAAAAATACTAAAACTTTCGAAAACGAAACAAAACAAAAGGATACTTGAACCAGGCAGGGCAGCTAAAAATGTGACGGCACCGCTCGCGGATTCTCCGGTTCCGTTCCACGGCGAAAGAGCAGTGTCTAGTTTCGTTTTACTCTGCTTATCATGAGAAATGGCGGTCGTTTGTAAAACAATGCAGCCGCTAAGGGAGGACGAGCAGCGGCGCGTAGGTGGCCTCCTCGCAATGCTGGCCGACGGTGAACACGGAACACGGTGACAGAACGAAATGTCCGTGCCTTAAATGGCCACCTGAGGCTCCCCTGTCGTTTCTATTGCAGCTCGCCGCTCCCGTGTCGCCCGTCTGCTCTTTTCCTTCTCTCTCTCTCTCTCCCCGCCTTCTCACTCTTTCTCTTCCTTTCATCTTCCTTCCTTGCGCGCGACGACCACGTGACGCCCGTTTTCAAAGCGTGAACCGATTGGTTGAAAATTTTTCCCCAGATCCTAGAACGATCGATTATATCGGGAGAAAGTGGGTCGATTTTATCCTTTGACAATTTCTCACGACGAATTTTCGAAATAGTTTCGAAGGGAGGAATTAATACAGGTACGTTTATTTAAATTCCTCGTTTATTAATTAATAAATTGGAATGACAAATTATGGGGAAACTTATTTTCGTAATAAACTTGGCGATAAATTGTAATAGCTTGGTTTGTACACATAGTATGCAAGGTAAGGTTAAGTGAATACGTTGCACAGGCACGCCAAGAACGAAACGTAAAGTCCAGGAAGAATAATAGGAATGCATTTTCACTGCCTTCGATAAGTAATCTTTGCTCCATTAGGACCCGTGCGGGCGATACTTGTAACCACTGTCACGACAACCTTAGCGCTGTAATTCTGCCGGATCGCGCACTTTATGCACTCGACTCGCTGCATTTGCATTAGGTGCTTCTTTCTTACTAAACCGTGACTATTACCACGCCGCGTTTCTACGGTCGAAGGTATTCCTTTCGAACAGACCACAATCTTAAACTTATCTTTTAATGTTCGTTCAGGTATTTCGTATTGGCGACTGTTCATTACTTTTAAAGATTAATTGTTGTTTTAATTTAACGATAATATGGACGGTCTTTTTTTCAATTTATTGTAATCCATTCTTTTACTTTGCAACGTACAAACAACGTAGCTTTAAAAATTCCTAAATTTCTAACCTATAACATAACCTAATCCAAACACATTACACAGAAATTTTATTACATTTAATCCTACCTTTTTCTTTCACGATCAATTGATTATATCTTAAATCTTCAATTCTAATTTTCCTAACGATTTTATTAGAATTACAAACACCACAATATTCCCATACAATTTGCATATTGCACAGAACACAGGCGATACCGAGTCAAACTTGTCCGATCTAAAAAGCCAAAGGCTCAAATCATACACGGGA